TAAAACTAAAAAAAAAAAAAGACCGTACCCTTTATGTAATGATGTTTACTTTGAATTTATATTAGTTCACACAAACACTCCATCCATGCTTTTGTTCCTGCCCTCCGGTCCAGTTTAAGAACCCATTGTGGCCCTCGAGTCAAAAAGTTTGCCCACCCCTGCTCTAGCCACTGAGTCAAACCAGCTAGGGCTTATCACAATTTTTTGAGTTAGAAATGAATTACTTTTATTTTACAGATGAGGAAAATAAGGTCTGCAGGTAACTTAACCAAGGTATCACATGCTAGTAGATAATGCATTAAAAATTTAAAGTCGGAAACCTTTTTAAAACATATTTTTATTGATTTCAGCTTTGTGCAGTGGCAATATTGTAGCCAATGAGTTTTATCTGAGGCATGATTATTGCTAATTGAAAAAAGCATATATATATATATATACATATATACATATATACACACACACACATATATACATACATATATATATATAAGTATATATATTGATTTCAGAGAGGAAAGGAGAAAGGAGAGGGAGAGAGATAGAAACATCAATGAGAGATAATCATTGATCGGCTGCCTCCTGCATGACCCCTACTGGGGATCAAGCCCGCAACCTGGGCATGTGCTCGAACCGTGATCTCCTCGTTCATAGGTTGATGCTCAACCACTGAGCCACGCCAGCCAGGTTAAAGTTGAAAGTCTTAAGTGGAATAACAGATAATTTCTAGAGAGTACACTGTATCTATTTGAATGATTTTTTAAAACCATTTTTATGTATGATTTTCTGTTTTAATTATTGGCTAATAATCTCACCAATATACATTGGCCCCACCAAAAATACTAGCTAAGAAAAATAGAAACCACATATCACATTTTTTAGTGGTCTTTAATTTTATTAGGGGAAGAAAAGGCTAACCACGTTCTTGCAACTTTTCACACAAAGTTCTCAAATAGCTGTACTAAGTTACCTCCCCAGTTGCTTTGGGTTTTTTCCTCCCCACCACAAACATCAAGCTTACAAGGCTCTATAAGCCATCTATTGCCCATTTTCCTCCACTTACCAATTCTCTTACCTTTTAATCAGTATTTTACACTTTTTTGTTTTGTTTTGTTAATCCTCACCTGAGTATTTTTTTCCATTGATTTTTAGAGAGAGTGGAAGAGTGGGGGGAAAACAGAAACATCTGTGCTAGAGAGACACATTGATTTGTTCCCTCCCACACCCTGACTGGGCAGGGTTTGAGCCTGCAACTGACCTGAATCAAACCCAAGACCCCTCAGTCGCAGGCTGATGCTCCAATCACTGAGCCAAACCAACTAAGGCAGTATTTTACACACATTTTAAAAAACCAATTCTAGGCATTGAAGCATGCTACAACTAAAAACGAGTGCCTAATTCTATCTGCTTTAGCAAGACATTTTTGGGTTATAATCCCTTAACTAGAATATAAAATTATTAAACAGAATATAATATTTTCAAGCAAAAATGTAAAGCAAATTCTAATAAATAAGCTCATCCTCACTTTCAAATCTCGTGAGGGCTCATCTTTTTTATTTTTTTGAGAGAGAGAGTACAAGGGATGGGGGGAGGGAGAGGGAGAGAGAGAGAGAGAGAGAGAGAGAGAGAGAGAGAGAGAGATCAATTGGTTGCCTCCTGCACATGCCCCAACCAGGGAATAGATCTGCAACTGAGGTATGTGCCCTCTTCAGTCTACAAACCGACGCTCTATCCACTGAGCCAATCAGCTAGGGCAGGCTCATTTTATGTTCAAACACTCTGCTGTTTGTTTCTTTCAGGAGTCTACAAACTTTTCATTGAAGAGCCAGATAGCAAATATTGTAGGCTTCTCGAACTAAGGGGCAAAATTGGAGACTTATATAACCATTCTAAATGGAATTACGTAAAAATGTAAAAAACATTCTTAGCTCACAAGCGGCTGGCCAAATTTGGCTCATGAGCTAGTTTGCTGATAGCAGGTCTACTTGCTACATTCCCTCCCTTTCTTGCATCATCTGCAAGTATGATGTAATGGCTTTTTCTCAAAAAAGAAGTGATATTTTCCCTTTCTAATGTCAGACTGTCATAACTCAGTTACTTGCACTGTGACAAAAATACACCTACACAGTTGTTTATGCAGAATATTTTATTTATATATTTGATATCTGTACAGATGTCTCTGTCCTTATCTCTATATTTGTCTCTGTGTTCTTACTGACCAGCATTAATTCCTCAGGGATAAGACCTGTATCTGTTTAAGCTTTGTACCCTCTTAGCAGAGCATAAGCATCAAATGGACATCTGACACATTTCAATAATAAAACAGAAAACAATCAAACATAAGTCAACAAGAGATAAGAAAAAAGCATGTGGAAACACATACAAATATTCTTATTTTAGAATTAAACTATCCATAATTTGTAAAATCTACGTCTTTAAGTTTATACATGAGATTATATCCATTTTCCTACTTAAAGAAAAAGTAGGAAAAT